CCGTGCGTCCGCCCGCTTTGTTGCCGGCCGCGCCCGCCTACCGCCAGCTCGCCCTGGGAAACAGAACGCGCGCTAGCTCGGGCGACCCCCCCACAAGCCTTTCCTGGAACCATGAACCCCAACTGCGCCCGGTGCGGCAAGATCGTGTACCCCACGGAGAAGGTGAACTGTCTGGATAAGGTGAGCTTGGGACTGGGGGATGCGTCTTTGCAGTCTCCACGCAGTGCTCCGAACTGAGGGAAGATAGAGGGGCCGGTCTTCGCCGCTTCGTCCCCACGATCTCAGGGGAAGGAAGGGCGGGCGGGCGGTGTCATAGGGTGTGGGGACAGACCCTAGTCTGGAAACCAGGAGATCCCAGGCGAAGCGAGGAGTCCACGCGTGCCGAGCAGCCACTACTGAAGAAGGCTGGGCTCTGTGCCCCGGGGCCGGGGGACCTGGGCGGAGCAGGGAAGCCAGGCCCTGGGTATGTGGGGGAAGGTTAGGGGTGCAGTCCCGCCCCCTAGGGCTGGGAGAGTAAGGGACGGCCGCTCCCTCTCGCCGGCTAGCCGAGCGCCAAGTAGGCGGAGTTCCAGCTTCCTGGCGTGGAGACTGGGGGGCAGGGGCTATCAGTCGGAGAGTGTTGCGTCTGGCGAGGGGGGGGGCCGGTTAAGCACCCAAGCCCCACCTCGAGACTCCCTTTTTCTAAACGACCTGCAGCCCCCTTGGTGATTCAGTGGCTAGTGGACTAGCAGACCCTTCCATTGCTTCCCAACCCCCACCTCAAATTAAAAGCCAACTCCCGGTGCCTAAGCCGGGCGGGGTCGGGTTCTGGAGTAGGGTGGTGGTGGTGGTGGGGGATGCTTCGCAGAAATCTCCTGAAATTGTGCTCGGAGTCTGGAGGCCGGCTCTCCTAGAACAAAGAGCTAACTTTTCAAAGCAGGTTTCTCCAATGCAGGGTGGGGTTGATGAGTTCTGGGGAAGCCAAGGAAAGGGGGAGCCGTTTGGGGGGAGGGGAAGGTGGCCTTTTGGAAATTCACTGTCCCCTGGGGGGCTATACCTCCACGCTGGACTTTCATCTGGTTGCCATTATACTCGCGGAGGTGGGGGGAGTAGAATTGGGTGTTCCCAGCAGTTTGGGGTAGGATCCTGTCCTCTTGTAAGCTCCCTAAGATCCTAAGGCAAAAACCTATCCCTCCTCTGTGCCCCCCTCCACAGCCAGGCCTCTGTGATTTTCTTCTGTCCCTTATTGTGTCTGTCACGCATCACCCACAGCTGGCTTCAAATCCACATATTCCCTCCCTTCTGGCTGAACTGGCAGGGCTGGGGGGACTGGACGAAAGAGGGGTGCAGAGCCTCTGGGGCCAAGATCATGGCAGACCTGGAGCCAGCTTTTGTTTGGAATGGGATGGTCATTGGCTGCTTTGTCTCTCCCTTCCCCCTTGGGATTGGAGCGCCCTCAGTGACCTTTGGCCTCTGAGTCAGGGTGAGGAGGTGGGGTTCCTGGTTCAGAAATGCGTTTGCACTTGCTTCTGGGGGAAGAGGACTTAGGAGGATGCTGCAGTTCCACTGTCGTTCCTGGGCGTGAGTGGGCAGGAGGAGGCCAAGGGACATAGTGTGTGCCCAAGGGAAGGTGTGACCTGCCTGGTGACCGTGCCAGCCTCTGAGAGTACTACTTGAGTTTGGAGCCAGTAGGGGGGGGATTCTCCCCTTGAGAACGGAACTGTCCTTGCACAGTGCAGTCCCCCACCCCCACCCCATAGGATTCTGGCTCCGCATCTTGAGTTCCCCACGCCCCCTCTGCTCCACGGTATGAACTAGGAAGAGGCAGTGGCCCTTCCACCCATATTGGGCAGAAGCAATATACCATGGGAGGACTGCTAGCCTGGAGCTGGGAGACTCGGTCCTAGTTCCAGGTCTTCTCCCACCAGCTTAGTGAATAGCTCTAGGCCTCAGTATTCACCATCTGTCAGATGGGTATGAAAACATCATGTCCTTGGAGGAGGTGTAGTGCATTAACATGCCGGCCAGATGGGAAGAGGGTGTGTGGTAGGGAAAGGCTGTGTC